TAAGTCACTCGTTACCAATGAAAGTCAATTAAGACCAATTTATTGTTGACGCAACCGATATTACGCGGGAACAATTTAATACAATTTTCGCGCGTCGTTTTCCTCGATCGCGTAGCCGAGAACGGCGGCTGTTTAATCTATTCGGCGCACCTCGCGGCGCTTTCCGCTTAATGAACGCGCCGTCAATTTTGCAAAGTGCTCCGGAAAAAGAGCAACCACTCGCGATAAGTATTCCCCGTAGGAGAAGCTGTCTTCTGACTTTGCACAATCGCAAGAACGAGGTGCTTCGCTGTCGAACGCGTCTCTCCACGGGCAAGGCGACTCGACGATCCCGCGGACGGCTATATTAGCTGACGACGCGCGCAATCACAATCCACAGCGCGAGCTTCCTGTGCAAAACGATGCAAACTATCCTTGTCGCCTAATGACTCTATACATAAACATTGGCTCGCGTAGATAACACCAGTAATCATAAGTGTTGCAGCGTGGCCTGCGTGACATCAACGTGGCGAGACCTTCGAGCGACCGACGTCGCTAATTTAGTTTCGATGGGACAAACGACGCGATCTCTTTCTCTTTCCCTCTTGACTCTCTCTAATCAGCGTCATGTGATTCCTTCGAAATCGCGACGACGTTGTACTTTACTCGCGTAACTTCTTCTACAGTGCCCCAACGCGAATCGCGATTCCCAGCAATTCGTGTGTCTATTTGTCGCTCCTTATTAATATTTCAGGCTAGTCGTGTCTTAGTTTTAATATAGGAATTTGGAAGACATTTTGGAGATATTTAAAAAACGCTTAAAAGACATTTGGAGAAATAAAACGTCTTCTAGACACTTAAGAATTTGAAGGATCTGAGAAAAAACGTCCTTTTTGTAATAAATATGTACATTCAGCTTTACATAGCTCCTAATCGTAATTATATAAGCTTCTATAATTAATTAACATATAATAAACTAATCATATAAGATCTTATAATTAATTAATTATTTTCAAGCTCCTATTATTAATAAATTAGTTACGTAAACCCTCCTAATGATAATTACAATTGTGAATTGTTGTTATATCAAAATATTTCTTCATAAGGCGATAGCTACTAGCAAAATAAAGATACATAGACAGTGTTTGTCAAAGTGTTAACATATCTTTTAAAAATTTCTGCTACTTAGAATCGTCGTGCGAGCTCACTCACGTTGACGATTATCGAATTGTGCGTGGAGAAAAAGGCACGCACGTGTATTTACTGCAAATTGCTTGATGATTTATTTATTGTTTCTGCTGGTGAATCACGTCGATCGTTCCCTTAATTTAGCCCGCCAGACCTTTGACCCCGCTTTTCATTTTAATTCTAAGTCACGCAAAAGTCGGCGGTGCATAGAAGCGATTACGGTGATTGCAAGAGACCTGTGCGGATTTTGCAACTTCTCGCGAAGTGATTTTCACACGTGACACTTGGTGTGCGTCACGTGTCGTGGTACGTAAAAAGAGCAAGAGGTGAAAGTGAAGCACGCGAGCGCGCCGTGCCCACATTAATTTACGCGTAAAAATGCTCTTCTCTTACAAAAAAGAAATCAGAAAATAATCAGCGTTATCATTTCTCTCGTATTTTATCATACGCGGAACGGACGGACACGTTCGATTCCACCTTCTGTATTCCATATTTTTTCCTTATTACGTTACTATAAACTACGATGTTCTATTACGATAAGATACGACGATAAACGTCCATTCCTGGTTATTGTTTATCATATCAATGCAATAGATAGATTATCTTATCGCGTGAACAGAGGGCACAATAGTGTGTGGGGAATGATTTTATACTCTTTCTTCTGTACATATATCTAAGGAGCTGGAAAAGGTTCCTATCTCTTTTAGTGCAATTTTACATGAAGAGGAAAGCCTGCGAAATAATATTATGTTCAGTATGAGTATCATTAAATAGCACTTTGCTGTGACAATAATTGCGTAAAGTTATTTCAAAAAAAGATCACGTGCAAATGTTTTTGTATGTACCTATCATATAAACAACTACTTCATCTTCTAAAAATAGAAAAACAACGTTCGCATATTATCTGATCGATATTTTCTTATCTGCCGGATGCGAATCCCCGATGAGTAATTCGTTCTAAGAGTTTGATTTTATTTATAAATACTGAAAATTATAAATATCTTGCCAACTTCATCGTACAACAAGTATAAATAGGAGAGCGTAAATAAGTACAAATAAAACATCATACAGAATGTCTGACACAAGATATGCAGAACCATGTACGAAAGTAGAGCATGTCAACCTGAGCACGAGGAGCTCTGGCATTTTGCAAACAACCACGTGAAATTTCGAGATATTAAAAAACAGAAGATGAGCGCGAACTTTGCCTTATCGGAAATGACTGAGGCAACTGCTTCTTAACGACTGAAGACGGAATGAGAATGCAAACAACGCGAAGACAATTGTTTTTCAACGTATCACGAGCGTGTCATATGACACGTGTGTCGTTAAGAAATAGTCGTAAATCTCAGCCATTTTCGGTGAGCTCATAGTAAAATTGACGTTTCCATCTTCTTTACTATTATCTTGCGTTATTCTATATTTTCATAAAGAAGTCTATTTTTTTTAGCTGAAAACCTGACTGAACTAACTGATGCAAACTAATGCAATGAGTTAAAGTGAAACAAAATATATTTGTCTCACTCTGACTTATCGCATCAGTGTGCACCAGTTCAGACAGATCAGCTAAAAAATACACACGATCCCTTCAATACGACCGATATTCTTTCGCGGCAAACCGCGATTTAATGAAAAAGATTTTTTGAGTAACTTAAGTGATTGATAATTTAATTTTACCAACTCTCCTTGATCTAATACGACCGTAGACATATTAAATAATGAAATAATTTATGGGCCACTTAATTGATTTCTCAAAAATTTCGCGAACTTTTTTTCGTAGTTTAAAAACCCCCAGCGTTCATAAGAGAATTGGCTGATTACTTTCGTGGTTTGTTCGAAAATGTTTCCTCATTCATATTGTTTAAGTCATTCCAGTTGCCGCGATACGATTGATATGTAACACATATAAGCCGTCTAAGTATCTGTTGACGTGTTTCTCAAGGTAGAATCGGTAGAAACCATGAAAGGCAGTAATTCCACAAAACTTTATGTACTTCGTACACACGTACATACGCATGCTCCTAACAAACATAAATATTCATTTCTAACTCGTTGCTTTGTAATTTGTACCAGTGACAATGACAATAGCTTCAGTAACGTTGAAACTCATTAATACAATGACACAATGATTCACATACGATATCAGTCACGGAAGAGCTGATAACGGAGTACACGCAACGTGGTTTATATAATATATAAGCTTCTCTCTTTCGTATAAAACTACTGCGGATCGTTACAGGTCAGTTATGATGACGATATACTCGGAGTCTCGCTTTTGTTACGAACGCATTCGAGCATTGTTATAGGTAGTTTACATGCATTCAAAACATTCTTGGTTTGTCACACTTTCCCGGAGGGAAAACCACAAAACATTCAACCGAGCATTTCGTCATTGTCTACGTCACTGTTATCAAATTTGTGAATTTAGTTGATATACGTTTTTAATCTTGGTTGAATTTAAAAGCAGTGTATGTGTGTCTACCAATCAGATTCACGAAATTTACGACAGTTGCAAAGCAGCTTTCTCTGCTGAACGCAGATATTGTGTATCATTGTAATACGATTTCGCCGTTTTTGCGACGAGGCGTGCCTGGCAACGACACGTATTTAAATAAACACGTGAATCTATTTTGAGCGCACTTTCGTGAAACACTTTTCCTTATTCATCCGTTAACACTGCCATTCATACCGCCATTGTTACCGTCATTTATACCGCCATTGATATCTCGCACATAACAGACAAATTAATAAATATCGCAAATAACATTACATTATTAAATTATGAGAGTACTCAGACATTACAAATATCAGAAATATGTTTTAGAGACATCTAAAAAAACATTTAAAGAAAATACGTCTTTTAAACATTCATGTCGTCAGGATAATATTCAAACGGAAAAACAGAAGAGTATCTTTGAATTTCTCTCGTGAGAAAAGGGAGCGGGAAAAGTTGCAAAACCACGTCAGCGTCACTCCTTCTCCAAAACACGTGTCCTAGTTTCCTATTTCAGGTAACAATATCCAAAATCGAGACGTCTTAATCCTTCATTGCTCTCATTCAGTTGACAGACATTAGCGCTTTCGTATGAGCAAAACATGCCGCGTTCGTTATTAATTAAATTTAAATTCAATTAATTCTGCATCAATACAGCTTTATCAAAACGATCAGATGCATTAAAACATTGATTTATTATCGAAGTATTAGAATAAAGCTTAAACTTGGTTAAGTGCCAGTCGCACTAACTTCACACATTCAATCTCATTACGAGCACGCGTTAACACTTCTAGAATCTATTAGCAAAAGTGTTACACTAACGAAATTAAGAAAACGCGCGACAAATATAATCTGAAAGGTTGTCAATGAAAAGTCAGAAGGTTTCAAAGTCAACTAATTAAACTATCTCTATATAATTAACGATTTAATTAAGCTATCTTTACATAATTAGAAAATAAAATTTCAACTGAGAACGTTCACGAGGAATGAAGGGTTAAAGACGTCTTATGTACCGGCGTCTTAAAAACGACTCAAAGACGTCTCGTGTTTCGACTTTGAACACTGTGTGGGAAGCCACTTCGACCACGCGCGTTCAGCATAAGGGAGGGAGAAAGAGAAAGAAAGAGAGAGAGAGAACAAAAAATATATAGACGTTACCTCCCTGTCCTTCTTTCTGACTGACCGAATGAGCGCTTGCTTTTATATAAGCGAGTCACGCAAATTCGTAAATACGAGTCACGCTTGGGCCCACAAATACGAGTCACGTTTGCACTATGACCGCCGGCTGCTGCCACTATGAGTAACATTCAATCGAATTGAATTCTATTTAGGCGCTCACCTTAATAGATCAATCGATCGGTCGAACCGCTGCTGCTCGTTGCTGCTGTTGAACAAATAGCGCTATCGGGATCCCATAAAGCCGCGCGATAACGCCGTACAACAGCCCCGATGATGACGAACAATGACGACCGCGACAACAGCCAGACGCATCTAACCTGGCGAAAGGTCGTCACTCGACTGCTCGGTTACGCGCCATATACAAGTGCTAACCCCGGTGCGACACGTGATGTTCGCCGGGCAAAGGACAATTCTCCCTGGCGGCAGCTGATTTCGAACCACGCGACCAGAGGGCACTACAATCCCGGCGGCGCGCGAAGAAGTGCGCTTGCGCACCCGAGAACGCGTCGATTGGCCGTGGAATTTGTGCGATAGATTTCAAATGTTCGAAAAACGCTCTTTGAGACGGCCCGCTGCTTCCACGGCTCGTCAGCGAAATCTCGCGCAAATTCCTCCTAGATATGCACTTTGTACAAAAGAAAACAGTTTATTCCGAACTCTTTTCAAAACAGCGTTGTACATTGACATTATTGTAAAAATAGTATCGTAATAATTTGCCTAAAGATAAATCCGCGATGGTCCCACCTCGACGCGTGCTCCCTCGTAAATCGACATTATTTATAATCTTATTGTTAGTTAACAACCTGACGTATGTACACTTATTTGTCTTAATCCGTTAGCATTACATTTGTTCCTCGACCTAGAGACACTTATATATATGTATATATCGAATTTGAAAAAATGAATATACATATACATATAAATGTGTATATTAATATGTATATATATATCCAACTTGACGCAGATATAACGTCGTTCGCGTCAAGCTTATATAATACCATTTCATGTGAATAATTCCTCTAAAGACTAATTACCACTTACGGTTGTTATATAGTATTGTCTCGTGACTTAAATTTCACTACGCTAACTTATAAATTTCCTCGTCGTGCAGTCTCTTCAAATCATAAAATTGATCCTTGACGGATCCCCACGAGAGTTTTATCGCTGGTTTCTCATTCTTGGCCTCGAAATCGTTCAGAACCTCGCACACTCATTTTGAAAATCCTACACAAGACTCCAATAATATCTTCTACTCATGGTTAAGGTATTTTAACTTGAACGTATTATATCTATATATTTTAGTATTACGACTGTTGGTTTTGAGAAGAATCAGCAACTCGGTCATATTAAATGCAACAGTAATATACACAGTGAATTCATATGTGCACTATTATTTTTATATTTAAAGAGAGTGTCTGAGTTGCTGATTCTTCTCAAAATCAACTGTTATGATATAAAAATATGTAGATACAATGCTCTCGAGGCAAAATACTTTAGCCAGAAATGGAAGGTATTATTTGAGTTCTGTGTACGGTTTATTAAGTTTGAATTAATCATTGTATGATGAACAAATCATGTCGGGTTCAACGGCGACTCGCATATAACATGTTAAATCTCAATTCTATTGAGCATTTTCGTGCATCTCAATTCCAAAAATCTGGTTGAAAGACCCACACGAAAGATCCCATCGCGTTAAACCAGTGACTGGCCTTTTTAACGATAAGTCAATCTACAAATGATCCACTTCATAATAGTTCAATTATAACTAGCTTGTTTAACGTAACTTGTGTCGAAAGATAAAACGCTTGGCGAAGTTGAAATCTGAAGTTTTCTGATGCTGACGCAAATTGAAGTTGAACATGAATTTAAATTCAATCGACGGATTTGCAGATTGTCTGATTTAGATTTTCCACATCTCAAATTTTAGCTGCTTAGACATTCGCGCAACGTTCGCGCGATCTCTAAATTCACAAGTACTCGCAAAGATTTGCGGATACTTCAGGTGTCACATTCATGTTACATTTAACTCGAACTTTGTTAATTATTTCTAATCATCAACTTCCCTTCAGATCTTAAAATTCGACACATTGAAATCGCTATCGATATGCAATTCTTCGTTAGATCCTTGGAATTCAGAACAGACAATAAATACAAAGAGAAGCGCAGACGAAACAGAAACTCTCGCACGGATCTAACATTACAATAATCCTACAAAAAAGTCGAGTTAAATTCCGTAACAGCCAGATCACATGATGTCGGCGGAATATAACGTATTACGCGTATGTGCGCGTCGATACATGGTTAACGCTCGCAGCACTATAATCTGCATTATTGTACGTGTACTAGTCAATTAATCTCTTAAAAACGAAAAGAATAATCCTCGGAATAGTCATTTCTCCAGGCTGAATAATTGTCATACACATAGAACAAAGTTCCGATACTGATTCCGTTACTCTCAAGCACTCAAGTTCTCTATAGCCGACTAATCTTCTCGCTCGAATTGATCGAGCGCGAGAAGAGAACCGCTTGCACTGAGTATCATGCAATTCAACACGATCATTATTCGTTTTTCGCACTCCTGGAAAATATTTGTGAGTTAATTCGGTCATTCGCCATTTATTATACCGCATACATACACTCTCATAAACACGAAGTAAATTTATAGAAAAATACTAAGAAAAATACTAAGAATGTTTTTCACACTCTTTTTTTTCTTTATCTCTTGAGTTCTTGATTTAAGCTGTCTTTGCGCATTGTTCCCGAATAGGTTATGTATTTTTAGCTGCTTTATAAAAGATATTGACATAAAGATATTCCAAAACAAAGAAAACCTGAGCACTTTGCCTCGCATATAAAAAAATATTAATATATCTATACGAAAAGTAATGTTAGTCGGACAATGAAAAATGTTTGTAAATAAAATAGCGAAAAAAAACAAGAGGAAAAAGTACAATTTATTTAACCGTAAGGTATTCGTTCATAAGGCACATTTGCGATTATCCATAAGTCGCGCATAAGAGTTAAGTCTCGACTACAAGTCATTACAAAAAAGCAAAAAAACGAAGGAACTACGCGACAAACTCAACTCGAATAATCTCCTCTGCGCTAAATGCATCTAAAATTCATAATGCACGTCGCTGTTACCGGCATTCAAGAGTTCTCGTTTAGAGATTAATGCACTCGTGGTCTAAGTGTAACACCTGAATTACTCGAACAAGTTCGAGCAAGAAGCTATTGGTCAAGTGAACTTTCAAAAACGATAAACACTTACGCGTCAGTCGCCTCTTCGCTAGTCTATTCCTTTTCCCTCTCACTCTCTCTCTCTCTCTTTTGCTCACGTTTCTTTCTTTTTCTGTCTCTCTAATCATTTTTATCCCTGATTCCACAATTACAATAAATTCAGACATTAAATTGCACTACTCCATCGAATCATGATTAACTCCGACGTCGAGGCCTTCATCGAGTTTCTTTTTTTCTTTTGCCTCTTTTTCTTCTTCGAAGTGAATAAAGTCGAAGTCGCGCATGATTCGTTCGTAATGTCAAAGTAAAATACCGTGGACAGTTCTTGCGGGTGAACGGAATATAAGAAGCCTTCGACAGGATCGGCAATTTTGAAAATGATAAAAAATTACAGCATGAGAGTGGGTATTAACGAACTCTATAAATTTATCTCCAGGATCCTGCCCTTAATACATATATCATCAGACAACTGAGATTTTAGTGTCACACTTTTCTCGCAGCGTTATCTCGGTTATATCTTATAGACGGAAGATCGATAAAGTCTAATCAATTAACTACGAGTAACATTTCTAGGAACGGCACTTAATAACGTCTGAAGCGCCTTCTTGTTGTTATGGAGCGACGAGCTTTTGTCATTTACTCCGGCTTTTCATTTCGTCTATTCAACGATTAAAAAAAAAACAAAAAGAAGAAAAAGGGAAAGGACGAAAGAAGAAAAAAAGATTGCCTAGCAAAAGTCTATATGTCTGTACAAATACCATGTTAGTTTTCTCTTGTTTACAAAGATAGCGCTACTAAAAAATAAATATATATATATATGTGGTGTTCCTAAATTTTTTGGTGCCAGATAAGTGAGCGGCATCTAATATTTCTTCTCTCACCTTCTCTCGTTCTTTCTTATTCTCACTCGCCTTCTCTCACAAACATACGATCTCTTATTCTTTTTCTTCCTTGTTATTTTTGTAATTCTCTCTCAGGACGGACAATTTTACCGGACTTGAGGACTCGTCAACATCAGCCCGAGCTTTTCATACGCATACATCAGATTTTTCGCTAGTCCCTTACAACAGCCGTTCTCATGAATAGTCTCGAATCTGTAAGTCTTGAAATTCTTCTCGTGGTCGATGTAAGTGACTGCCGCCATCAAAGGGCACATAATAATTTTCGTATGATCTAGGAAGTTAACCTTTAAAAAAGCAAATAAATTTTAATTGGTCACTATTTATTCTTTTCTATAAAGTCCTTTACAATAAATATTAATTAATTAAATATCAGCAAAAGTATAACATATACACAAAATTATCTCAATAATAATTTCACCAATGTGGTGATAATAGAAATATTATCACCTTGTTATTATATTACGTTTTTTATCACTTAAAAAATATTAAAAGACTACAAAAAAGATAAAATGATCAAAAATAGAAAACGCAAAGAAAACAATTATTGTAAAACTATCTTCAAAATATAAGAAAATAAAAATTATTGTTAGAAAAGTTATAAAAGTGATTATTATTATAAAAAGTTAAAAGAATGTATAAGGGGCAATAGAAAGATAGAAAATTTGAAGAATGAAGCTGATTGACGGAAGAAATAAAATGTTCAATCTGCACACACTATAAAAATTTACAAAAATATTAAATCAGTAAAAAGAATTACCTGTACAGTGCCATTAGTTAGTTGCATCACGACTGCCGTCTGAGTCCTGAACCATTGATGCATGTAGGGTATTCTAGAGATGGAATCACTCTGTTTCATTACGATGGAGTCGCCTGCCTTCATCAAATGATCGTTCATATACTTCAGGAAGAAATTCATCAACTTCATCTTCTTCTCGAGATTATCCGGATAAGCTGTCACCGTGTAGTACAATTCGTCGCCTTCGCGGTTGATATAGTGAATGTTGAAACCATTCGGTAACATTATCAGTCGCGTACCATCGTTATACATCACACCGACTCCATTATCGGATAACTGGTACCCAAAACCGTATTTGTCTGAGTAATCTACCCATTTGCTTATCCAGATTACAGGTTGCATCGCTGGATCAGTCATCTCATCTGAGAAAGTTTAAAATACGTATTTAATAATAGCAGAAGGTGATAGAAAAATACATCCGGGGCTCTTATTAGAAATACATAAAACTATTTACTAGAAATAATTATACTTATTTTATTAAAAGTACTTGTTAAGATTATTCATGAAGAATATCTACTGTAATTATTTCTGTACCTTAATAAAAAAGTAAATAGAATTAGTAGCAAATTGTCCTTTCAGCTTCTGTCATTACCGCGCAAGCACGTAAACAGTGTTTGCCGAGTGTGAAAACTAAATTACTAGATTACTAAAAATAAAATGTTTATCTTCGTTCTGCAACTTCACCTGCTGATGATGCTATCTCTCTGGCAGGCTTAGCTTTCAGTACAACAGCCAACTGTTCTTTCAATGTATGGAGCATCTTCTTAATATCGTGATTCATTCTCTGCATCTCGTTGACGTCAGTGGGTTTCGGAGGTTTATTAGACGGGCTGCTCGGCACTCGGAAGGGGATAATGTCTGTCTCCGAGTTGAAATTTACTTCTCCAAGAGGTTTGCGGCTACAATGCAACTCCAGCATGTCCAAACGAGGCGCCATTGTTAAACAAGAAAGTGGCAAACTCGTCGGCAAATATCCTGACAATTGTCAAAATTTTATATCACGCAAGTTACTCGACATTTACAGTAATTATTTAACATTTATTAATATAATATAAGTAAAAAACGGGGCGTAAAAACAAGTCTGCAATTGAATGATAATTAGGAAAATCGCTTTTAAGAAATTAATAATAAAATATTTAATAGTCAAAAAACATGTTAACAAGAGTTAGACATTAATTCCCACTTTGTTATATGTACTCTGTGCTATTACTTTAGTTCAAACTAATGAATAAATGTTTGTATCTTCAATTAACAAATTAATGTTATTTAAAGAAAAGATTAATTAAGAGAACGTTTTCATCGGCGTAAAAAGTGCTGGTTCGTCTCTTACCGGAAGTGAAGAAAACGTCTTTCATCAGCTTAGCGACAGAAGGACGCTTGGATGGGTTCAATTGTAGCATTCTTGCCACCATGTTCATGGCGGGCTTGCTTATGTGTGTCGGCGTTTTATAGTACACTTGCTTGATCCTGGCGTATGTCTCTTTCAAGCTCGACGTCTCGAACGGCGGCTTACCCACGAGTAGAGTATACATTATGCAACCGATACTCCAAACGTCGGCCTCGTACGAGTGCCCGACTTTGGTCAGCACTTCCGGTGCTATATAATTTGGAGTGCCGCAAACAGTCCTGTTGCAAAAAAACATTAGTTTAATTAATAAATCATTATATTGGAACGTTCGATTTCTTCAAGAAATGACTGATAAAGTTAATTTACTAACTTGATAGCAAAAATATAGATCTAGAAAAATATGTTAAACTATAATTTATATGTGATAACTTGGCTCTAAACAAGCTTGAGATATCAAAGTAAAATAATGTGTAATTTGAAGAAAACCTTGTTAGCTTGTGTGTATATGAATTTATAGTATATGTTTATCTTGTTAAAGTAATAATTACTTTTTCCGTTCGCCGTCGTGCTCCAATCTAGTTGCTAATCCGAAGTCACCGATTTTCACTTGCAATTCGTCATTCAAGAACAGATTACCCAACTTCAAGTCTCTATGAATTATTCTGTGTTGATGCAAATAGAATACTCCATCCAAAATTTGCTTCATGTAATATCGAGTTTCGCATTCTGACAACGCTTTCCTGCGTTTGTGCAACTCCATCATTGACTGGAATATCAAATATTTAGTTGAACATATTCTCAATATAATAATAATATTTGTAGGGATAAATATTGTCGAAAATACTAACTCTCTTACGACAGAGCTCCAAGATGATGTAAATATGGTGAGAGTCATCAAAGAAACCATGAAAGCCAACAATATGTCTGTGACTCAGAGTCTGATGAATTGCTATCTCTTGAGTCATTTTCTCTTTTTGATTGCTCTTGGTGATTACAGATTTCGGTACAATCTTTCCGGCAAACACATGATGTGATTTTGACTCTGTGATTTCATAACATTTTGCAAAGCCACCCTACAAAATAAGATATCGAAGCATTAGTATAATAATATAATCATAAAAAATATAACTGTAAGAAATATTTTACTCTGAAAAAGATGAAATTATTTTTGGAATAAAAAAAAGAAGATATTGGTAACATCATAAAACAAACTTCTGTGTGAATAAACATATTATACTTTTTAACATAAAAACTGATAGTAATATATAGCCAATAGAAATATATAAAGCCTGTTTTCTTTCAACAAACTTCCTGAATTGATGTACACTGGTACAACAAGTTAAAGTGAAACAAGTATTTTTTCTTTTATCTTTTTAAATACATTTTGTTTCGCTATAACTTACTGCATTAATGTACACTAGTTGAGAAATTAACTAGTTGACAAAAAAACAGACTTATTGTTATAATATGCATTTAATTAATTTATAATTTTTATTGTTATTTTTTCAAAATAACAAATATTTAATTATGATTAGTATATATTTAATGTATTAAACATAATAATGATGCATTTATCCCAATATGACTAACATAAATAAAGCCTTGATATTAAAATATTTATAATCCATGAATTTATTGATTTTATTTGTACTTTCAGCATTTAGATTCTTTGCTTTTTTTTCTTTCTTCTTCAATAACCAGATATGCATACAATTTATTTCAAATGCTGAAAGTGTACCCTGAGATACGAGAGATACGAATGAACTACTGATTTGCTCAGTTGTAATATCTACTTATGACATATATTCCATTAAAATGCAACAGGTGCCAAAGCACTAATTCTTTAAAAAAGATGTAATTGAAAAAATATACCAGAAACAACACATACAAAGAACATTTTAGTGACCATTGTACTTTATAATACTTAATTAGAATATCTCAAAGCTTTATTATCACTATATCTTTAACACTGAGTATATGTCCAAAAAATAGTCGAAAATACATGTTTCTGCTCGAGTGACCTGTCTGCTTCAGTTATAACCAAGACTACGGCCACGGCGCAAACGCAACAAGTGCCGGGTGCCAAGGGAACGTAACCCATGTCGGTGTGTCGAAAAACTGAGTCGCGATAAAAAAAATTCGCAAGGTCGCAAAGACCAGTGCTCCGAACGCGAGAGGATTACTTACTTTGCCGAAAAACCGGCCTCTCATGTAGCTCTTCCCGCTATTCACGTCATGTATAACATTGGGTATAGCGCACTCGTGCTCGTCCTTCGACATCGTGTCACGTTTGCCGTTCAAGCCGGTGAACCTGTGGTCGTCTTGTGGCTACAACGCACCGCTTCGCGTTAGCTGGCCTCTAAACTGCGTGTTTACGTACGTGAAAAATACACAGAGCACAAGCCGTGACCGTTACCCCGCCTTGTTAGCTCGAGCTGTGTTGTGTCCGAAAAAAAAAAGAACGAACAGCCGTGGGCACGATCCGCCACATATGCCGTACAGCCGAACTTCTGTTCAAACCGCTGTTTTCTATCCCTCAAATTAAGCAACGGCTCATCCCGTTTAAATCCCGCTCGGCCAGCCAATCGTTGCGTCGTCGCGTTGTCACGTGGTTAGCGAACGTTTACACGTGACACACTGGGACGCTGCGAGCAGTGATCGATCGAGTTGTTTTAGGAACGATTTACACCGCATTCAATTCGGCATTCGATCATCGATATTCGATAGATTTCGCATTTTGCCGTAAAAAATTTACAGGAACTTTAGGTGAGAAATTTCGCCTGTTTTGGTTGTGCACCGTTATTAAAGGCCCTTGCACGTAGAAATATTTTAACCGTAACCGTAAGGTCGTAAGAAAACTGACCAATCAGAGTTGATTATTCTCCTTGCGTTTGAGGAATAATCGACTGTGATTGGTCAGTTTTCTTACGACTTTACGGTTATGATTAAAATTTTTTTACGTTCAAAGGCCTTTAACAACGTTAATAAGTTTTTACAATACTGTATTCCAGATACGATAACGTTAATGCCCATATTCATAGTCAGTCTTTAAATTTAAGACCTCCTTGGCTGCGTTTCAAAACTCTACTCGACGGGTAGAGTAACATTTAATTGACCAATAAGAGCAAAGATAACTAGGATTTCTTTATCATGATTAGGCAATTAAATATACTCTATCCGTCGAGTAGAGTTTTGAAACGCAACCCTTAAGTTCATCTTCAGATGCTCCGTAGCCAATAAAATGAACTGTAGAGCTTCTAAAGATGAACTTAAAAAGGTTTTAAAGCCTCCGCATAAGAACATCCATAATATGTTAGTGTCGGTCTACAATCTCACTTTAAGCTTTAAGCCTTAAACAACTGACCAACCACAGTCAATTATTCTTTTTACGTCTTAAGAATAATCGATTGTGACTAGTTAGTTGCTACGACTTAAAGTTTAAAGCAAGGTTGTAGACCGTCACTTAATAGGTGCTTTTCAATTGCTTAATACATCTTGACACACACATACACAAACCAGTTTATTAGTCACATATTATCTAAAATATCTTGTAAGATAATATGCAACCAATAAACTGGTTTTGTGTGACACAGTGTACGCAGTTGGAAAGCACCCAATAACATGTTCGACTGGTTCTGGGTTAACCCACTCTGGGTTATTCAGCCTACGTTTATTGGTCGAACAAATATTTATAAGTTTTATGATTGGCTAGTAGAGACTTATGACGTCATTAATCGTTCTCGGAGCGATTAACCCAAAGCCAGTCGAACACGCTATTAAGTTTACGGATTTCTTTGGGTGCTTTTCAGTTGCGTACACTGTGTTACACAAAACCAGTTTATTGGTTGCATATTATCTTACAAGATATTTTAGATAATAAGTGACCAGTAAACTGGTTTTGTGTACGTTTGTGTCAAAATGTGTTAGCAATTGGAAAGCACCCTTTGTGTGTTGACTTAAGGCCGGTTTATGATGGCCGTAATCCGTTAACTAATCCGGAACCGTAAAAAATTGACCAATCATAGTCGAATTATAGAAAAATAGTTGACTGTGATTAGTCAATTTTTTACGGTTCCGGCATAAGTTAATGGATTACGGCCATCATAAACCAGCCTTTACATGTATGTCACACACACAAGACCGCACCATTTTCTCGCATGCAACCGGAAACCTTACGCGACATACGTTCGAAGTCCTTATTAGCAATCTAGTTTAGTATAGACGTCTGTGATTAAGCATATATGTAATACTATATTAAATACTAATATTATATTGCTAATCGCCCTATACTAATATTATATTGCTAATCGCCCTATGCTGCTTGTAAAGGTCGTTCTACATTACCTTATAGCATGTTCGACTGGTTCTGGGATCAATCATGAATCTTTTCCTCTAACGTGAACTCGTGAAAAGTGAACATTTTTATATGTTTTATATTAGAAAATTTTCACTTTTCACGAATTTACACTGGGGGAAAAGATTCATGATCGACCAGAGGGTCGATTGTGTATCTCAAAACAGAGTGAAAATGACAAAAGTGAGCAAATTTACTAGAATATTTATAACTTCATTGGTCAATGTCTAGTGAATTTGCTCACTTCTGTAATTTTCATTCCGTTTCGAGATACACAATCGACCCCCAGATGGGTTAACCTAGAGAACCTAGTACAATACAGTCACGGACTTAAAGATTGGTGGATCGTTTTTAGCAAATTTATGAACGCATTCCGACTTGAGAAGAAGGAGAGTCGCTGCTCCGTCTGCGGGGCACGCCTGCGCAGTGACTAACCACGATAGGAAATGACATATACGTAATGTCATAAAAATAAACATGACTTTCGCGTGGGAAGTGTTCCGCAGGACTCGTTGTGACCGAGCACCGTGGATTACACGCAAATATAAAGATAAGTAATAAATTTCATTATTCCCATATTCTGCTTGTGATATTTATTTCTTTCTGCAAAACACAAATATGACAGATATTAAATTTCCTACATAACAATTAATATTATATTAAAAACATAATTTATATATTTTTTGTAATGAAATCTATTACTTATATTTATATTTGCATGTAATCCACGATGCTCGGTCACGGCGAGTTCTGTGGAACATTTCCCACGCGAACATCGTGTTTACTTTTATGACACTACGTACATGTCATTTCTCTTCTATCGTGATTATTCACTGCGCAGGCGTGCCCCACAGACGGAGCAGTGACTCTCCTTCTCAAGTTAGAATGCGTTCCTAAATTTGCTAAAAACTATCCACCAACCTCTAAGTCCGCGACTGTACAGAGAATCGCCAACTTTGTCATGTGACCAGCTACTCAGCTACTCTGTGATTGGCTGGCATAAACATATACGGATTTGGACATTGCGACGCCGATGCAAAACCACATTATATATGTATATATATATATATATATATATATATATACATAAGCATATTTGCTGCATTGGTGTCGCAATATTTAAATCCGTATATATTTATGCCAGCCAATCAGCTGGTCACGTGACCAAGTTGGCGATTCTCTGTACTAGAAGTTCTTTAGGTTAACCTACTATGGGTTATACAGCCTACGTTTATTGGTCGAATATGTATTTATAAGCTTTAGGCTAGTAGAGACTTATAACGTCATTAATCGCTCTCGGAGCGATTAACCCAGGACCAGTCGAACACGCTATTAATGTAGAACGACCATGTAGGTGCAAAAGTGTCAAAAGTGCAAGCAACGCAAGCAAACTTTTTGTCGAAAAGTTATCAAACTCGAACATGGAAATAGCCTTAGTGTCTAGTGATTTTTAAACGAGATGAGAATCTGATTGGCTGTCCAATCTCAAGTATATAGGGACAGAAGTCAGCACCAATGACTCCTTCCTTCTCTTCATCATTACTGAATCGCCATTGCATCCTCTCTGAGGTCGAAGTTTCTCTTTCCGCTGCATCGAACCGGCGTCCATTTTCCTTGTTAGCTTGCCCGCGTTCGGAGCATCTTTGTGAGATCGTCATAAGTTCCTGGCGCAACATATTCGGTAAGCGAGCCAATTTGATCGGATAAATTGCCCACGTTTTGTAAGTCATATAAGAGTTCGCGCAATTCCTTGCCCTTTCTCATATCTTTCAGCAGATTTTCGGCAAAATCTTCGCGGAAAGCCTTCAGGAGGATAGCGTCGGTATAGTGACCCCGCGTTACTGCGATTTTTCCCTGATGCTTTTGTCGTGTGTTTTACTATCATCAATTATATCGAATATTAATGCAGTTTGATAAAATTTTGCCGTGCTTGAATAATTTTAGTCGTATTTAAGCATCTTGCATCTATAGGATGATAAACAACTAGCATTGTACGAAGTATTCATTGTTATAATGGAGTAGAAAATGAACATCACTGATCTTTTTTTTGTTGTTTCTATAAAAATATAACAATTTATGGGTCTAATGATTGCGCATCTAATAGATTTACAGAATGGATTTAACAATTCAAGGATTTTTGCAGTGACACTTGAATTTTCAAATTTATTATTAAACAATGTTTCAGAGAAAGAGCTTGATCTTCCTGGATTCTTGAGTCATTTCACAATTTTTAGATTTTTAGAATCATTTCACAATTTTTATAGTGTACATATAATATTCACAAATAATATCAACAAATGTTACAGAAATCCATTATGGACGGTGCACCTGTTGGTAGAGGAGGATTCCGAGGCCGTGGAGGCCCTGGAGGATTAATGAGAGGACGGGGTGGTTTTGGAGACAGAGGAAGGTAAGCTACTTGACACAATGAACAATGAATTTCATATAATCATAAATAATATACTTGTTAGCCTTTGAATATATGTTTGTGGATAGTTTATGTTAAAACAATTTATAGCAATCATTTTATCAAATTTTGTCATTTTGTCTATAAGAAAAGCAAGTAAAATATGGTATATTGTGAATAACATAAACAACATATAACAATAAGTAAACAGTAAGTAACCAAATAGTACATAAATAAATATTGTATATATTTATTTTACTTTGTATATTTATAATTAATTGTTAGATAAAATATTAAAGTTTTTATTCTATAATAGGGGTGGTCCTCCTCGAGGTGGTGGTATGATGCGTGGTGGACGAGGCAGTGGACCTGGTGGAGGTATGAGAGGAGGTCCTCCTGGAATGAGAGGCAGAGGTGGTCCTCCAGGTCGCGGTGGGCGTGGTGGACATTTTCCACCGAGGTAAATATATTAATAGAATTATTTGTTACTTAACTATAAGTAAACTCAATAATCATCATTTGAAATATAAATATCTCAGAGGAAATATAATAACATAAATTTGTAGCGGACCACCGGAACCTGGTATGTCCAGTGGACCTGGTGGTGGACCACCACCTCTAGGAATGGGAGGTCCTCCACGAGGTGGAAATAGGGGTGGTGGTAACAACAGCTTCCGCGGCAGAGGTAGAGGAGACTTTGGTAGAGGCGACAGTCGCGGAGGTAACAATAATTTCCGCGGTCGTGGTGGTATGGATAGAGGTGGCAGAGGAGGATCCAGGTAGGGATAGAGCTCGTTTTGACTGTAAACTTATTTGGAAATTAACACTAGAACTATATTCATTAATCGAACTTAATTAACTAAATTAATTGCTATTTAATGAGTTATTTCTATCAGAGTGGTCGGAACAATAGGCATTTGGGAAACTAATGCAAAGGAAGAACATTTTCGTTTGCTCTTTTCAATTTTACTCAACTTCAATTAAAAATACAAAATATGCCGTTACAAATTTAAATAATTTTTATAAGAAATCACCAACTCCTCATTTTGATAATTCTAGTGTTAATAATCACTTATGGTATGATTATACAATATCTCATGTATGCTCACATAGGGGATCTGGTAGAGGTGGACCAGGCGGCAGGGGCGGTTTTAATGATCGCGGTAGAGGGCTTGGCGGTGGCCGTGGTGGTCCGACCAAGCGAGGTGGTGGTCCACCGAGTTCCAACGGACCGTCGAAAAGACCTCGTTTCGATCAGCCGTCTTCACAGCCATCAAATGGCTATGCTACTCAACCATCCAAGTACGTTGCTAAAAAAAACTCGATTTTTATTGAGATATAAAATGATAGTTCACAAATGTAAATAATGACAGGCGCAGTAAATAAAATAGAGCAGATTTTAGGATAGAAATGTAAACTGAGATGAATGATATTTACAGCCAAGGTGGCTACGGAGGAGGCTCGAATAACGCTTACGGTGGTCAGCAGCAACCGCAGCAACAGTCTGTGGGATACAGCGGTGGTGGCGGATATGGCTCGCAGCAGGGATATACACAGTCTTATCCTGGTTACGAAAGCTACCAGCAACCTCCGGATTACTCGCAGACAACTGTAAGTGAACTCACCTCAAGCTCGAGAAAGAATCTTACTTTTCTTGAAATTTGAAAAGTACGATTTATGAATACATATTTTTTACTCTCTTTTCTTCTCACAATTCATTTGGAAATTCAAATATTGTGATTCTTGATATATACTGATTTTCTTTCTCAATTTCAGGGCTATCCGTCATCTGCCCCACCGGACAACAGATACGGTGGCGGAGCGTCGTCAGTTCCAGCTACCGGAGGCTTTAACGATCCCTACAATTACGGCAAAGCACCGCCATCAGGTAAGCCGTTGACTGTACGAACAAGAGCGCGATAAACATGCACGCGCGCAACATTCATCGTGATTCTCTTGCTTCTCTCTCAATCCCGATTAACCCTCGTCGCGACACAGAAACATCTCAAAACCGCGTCATGAACGGAATCGAATCGACATTACATCTAGTTAATTAATATCACATGGTGATGCATGTCCAGCCTATTACCAACAGGAGGCAGTGCAAGCTGCGGGGCTGGGTGACAGGGGTTATGCCCCTATTAACCGATATGACGACCGATTTTCTAATGGCAACATAATCGACCGGGATGATTACTCGACGCAACCTTACGGTTAGTTATCTCGTCCGCTCATGCCACATCGCTCATGTACATGCAGCTCATTAACTCATTCACCACGGTCGTTAGAGCGATCCCTGTGGACTTTGCGTTTCTATCGCAGAACGTCGAATAATCGAAACTGTGGAAGTTTACGATCGAGTATTAGAAGTTCGTCACATGTCGCATTATGTCGTAGAATTTACGTTAAAATTACGTTAAAATTGTTACGTAAAACATACGTAATACGTAAAATTTTCGTCATACATATATCTGTTTTTTGACAAAACTTTCCAAGAGATAATCTAAAGTCTCATACATTAAATGTGGACTGTCTGACGACTGTTCTTTCTTGATATTTCGAATGATACGATCTTTCGGACATACCGTGTCACTCTCTCGTGATCGTCAAGAGTTGCGTAGGGTTTCACACAAAAACTACCTAATAGTTAAAAAGATTATAGAGGTAATCGAATACGGAGTCTTATATTGGAACACTAGCACCGTCAGCACTGTCTCCTGTCATCCTTCACTGCAGAACACTACAGGGCGTCCATCGTATACGATTTACCAAAGGGCACAATAAACATAAAATTTTCGTTTTCACTCTTGTTAACATGTCTGCATCACGATTATTCTATTGGTTCTTATTATAGTTTTATTATTTCTGTTATATAATTTTATAACTTTAAAATTACTCAATTACGTTTTTTATCAGTTTAAGTGAAAAAGTTGATAAGAGGATGGTATAAAAAATGGATTGATTTCAATTGGTTAACAAGTTTTTCTTTCTTTCTGTGGAGACTCTATTGTATCTCGCTATGGCTCGTCCCCTCAACCACGTATTCTCAACCGGTATTCTCTCTTAGTCGTGAAACGTTCGTCTAAAGTTGCACTTTTCTCTTGTGTAATTGCAGATTATTCAAGTCAAGACGGGGTTTATGGGAAGCAAGACTACGGTAAGTACAATTCGCAGTATGGCAAAGCCCATTGACATTCCTCCTAATGCGGACATATGCTTATGTCACTGTAACATTACTACAGAGGAGCGACTTGGAAGATGAGTGGCACAAACGGATGTTTTACATTCTACTATTTTGTTTTCTTCTTTTATTTATCGTAATGTGCCCTCTCCTGCGTATTGTGAATAACTATTAGACAATGAAACTTTTGCTTGAACAATTTTTGAACTGTAGAACAATTTTTACAGTTTGTTGTACAATATAATTTGTTACCTTAGTTATTCGCGTAATAAAAATTTATTATTTATATTCGTTTATATTCTTTTTCGATTAAATTACGATTGTAAGATACAACGTTCACCTAATTTTTTGAAGAATTGTTCGTTTGTAACTTCCCTTGAAGAAAATATTATAAGATTCTAAAACTCTTACATATTTTCAGCATTTGTACCATTCAAATTCTAAGTAGCTCCCGTCGTACCTTACCGTATCCTCGGATTAAGATCGTCATTGGTCACAGATAGTGGGATTTTTTTAAAAATTTAAAAAACTAGAATATATAAACAAAATATAAAGCTAGAAGAAAATTATGAAAGCATGTTGTTTTCAATAAATATACGCAATATATTTATAGTATATAATATCGCACACCAGAAATAGATTTAATTCAAAACTAGGAAAAAGTTGTGAAAGTTATATCTTTTTCGAGGATGCGAAATTTACGAGTATTCCTGATAGAGAGTTAGAAGTATTAATATTAAAAAAATAATAATAAAAGAAAGAAAAAAACGGAAAACTTCAGTTAAGATGATAGGAAAGCCGTTAGAAGACATTAGAATATAGGTAGAATCTATATCGCAAAGATGCAGAAGAAATAGGAACATAAGTACTTTCTATAACATTTTCCGAAGATATTTTAAGATGGGTGTCAGCGGGTTATAATGAGTTTACAGTACACTTAAGTATCAATATCATCGTATCACATACTTGGATATGCAATCGAAAGATAATGAATTACGGATTCAAAAATTGCGAAATCTTCGAATTGATCCGAATGAGAAAATTATAGTCAATTTTTGACAGTTCGTAACAACTTGTAACGCAAAAAAGGAGTAAGAGACATTTAGGAAAAATATTCGTATATATACATTTAGGAAAAATACTCGTATATATACATTTAGGAATAATCGTATATACATTCACAACTTTAGAGTGGTATCAGGTAGTGTGATTTTGATGTATAACCTACATGCACAATTATATGTCGCAGTAGGAATGAAAGCAATATCACATAGAAGAAAACGTTTACGACATTGCGACAAGTATTTGCAGTACAAATTAACGGGACGTTTGCAATACCATGAGAACTAAAGAAGAAACTGAGAAATTTTTACATGATATCACAAAAGTCTCTCCATCCACGCCCGATATGTTAGGATATTCGCGACTCTTTATGACGAATATATATATATTTATATATATATATATATATATATATATATATATATATATATATATATATATATATATATATA